AGCTGTCAGGGAACGTGGCAAGGACTGTGTTGTGCCTACCTGATGGGGAAGGTGGAATTGAAGTCAGGTGGTCTCGTGGCTTCTGGTTTGGCAAAAAGCCTTTGTTGGGTGCTGTCTGCTGACCTGTGTCTCAGCTCTTCCTTGTGCCCCTTGCCTCAGCTCGTTAATCCAGTTTGGGAAGTGTGATATTAAGCAAACTTGGGTAAAGATTAGCCATATTGCTGAGTAAATTAAGTTGAAAGAGTGATGCTAATTTGATGATCTCGTTGGTCTCTCCTTCAGTAGGAAAGGAAATGTGGGGACCCGCAGAGGCCTGCTGTCCTTCCCCTGGCACAATGTGTGCTGCCAGCTCTCCCGCAGCAGAACCGGCCAGCGAGGGGAGTCAGAGCTGAACCTCGCAGCCAGGGCTGCTGCCGCTGGGCCGGGCTGGCATGGCTAAGATGCTCGGGGCTGCCGCCTTCCCCTCTGCCCGGCTCGTGGGCAGCTGTGCTGTACAGCTGGGGTTGTGAGGGAGGCCTGAAACTCCTGAAGTAGCGTCCTCACACTGATGGCTGGCTGGTGACACCTCTAGTTTGGGCAAGGGAGTTGTAGGAATCTCTGCTCAGTTGCTGTTTGGTGGTTATTTTTTTTAGTTAGCTGATAGCATTGTTTCTCAGACGACCAGTACGTTGCATTTTCTCTGTTTGTCTGCCGTGCCTCTTGCCCAGAGGAACTGAAGGAAACAATGCTCTTCATTTAATTGGAAGTAGATTCAAATTCAGTGGTGGTGAACCTGTGCCCCATGCCAGGCTAAGGGCAGCACTGCAATCCTGGAACTACCAACACTTCTGTGACATGCTCTCAGCTGCCAACAAAACTGATGGACCTGCCGGGAGGTGCCTCTGCCCCGTGCGTGGCAGCATGGCTGCTGTGTCTGTGGTGGTGCTCCCCCTTGCACCTCCTGCCATGTCGGGCTGCTCCAGCAGGAGGGCAGCTGGGCTGGATGGGGCTGTCCTGGTGGTCTCTGTGCCCAGGAGCCTGTTTTCCCTGTATTTAAGTCCCTTAGGTCTGTTGTTTGTGCTTAAATCGAAGGTTCATGTTTGTACGGAAGTGGAGTCTGAGATATAAAGCCCCTTAAAATAGTTCTGTGCCGGGGGGCAATCCAGAATAAACCAGTGGTGTTACTTAAGCAAATGGTTCTTTATAAAAAGAAACAGAGCTTTACTGGTAATTCTTCCTTTCAGAGGGAAGGAAAACTAACAGAGAGAGCTCTGCCTTCCTCAGCCAGGTGGCCTGTGGCCTGCCTGCTGCTGCTGCACCATCCAGCCCTCCACTTCCCAACCTGGTGGGGAGGGTCTGGTTACAAGTAACTAAACTTTTATTCTGCAGTTTACCCAAATCCTTATGGGAAGCAAGAATTCAGTCCGTCCATCTGCTCTGCTCTTCCCCTTCCCTTTTTCTCTGTCTTTTCTGGCAATAGAAATAAGAAAAAAAAAAAAGGGAGGTGGCATGCTAGAGCTAGCAAACATTATCTCCTGAAATAAAACATAATTTCTCTTGGCAGTGAAGATGCTCTCTCAGGGGAAAGTAGCCCAAATTCCCAGAGGCAGGCCTTTTAAAGGCTACCAACTCTCCTGTGCTGCATCAGCCTGTTCCCTTTCTCCCAGAGATTTCTGAGAAATCAGGCATGCGGATTCCTCCTGAGCGTGGACACTAAAGCTGGCAGAGCACCACATCTATGAGAACATCTGGCCAATAAAGGGGGCCCTAACGAAGCAGAGCAGATGGTGAGAGAAAATAGCCCCGTCACTCCTTATGAGCAGCCTGCATAGCGGGAGCAGGGACAGTCCCGAGGTGACTTTGTTTCGTGAGCGAGCTTTGTGGATGGATGCTTGGAAACACCCCTGGACGGGGAGCAGCAGGGTGACAGTCTAGAATTACAGGGAGCAGAGTTAAAGGAGCTGGGATTTGGTTTTATCCAGCGCTTTAGTTGTTGGGCTATAGCTGGATGGGAAGTGGAAGATGGGACAGGTCTGTGCTTTGGTCGTTGTGGAGCTGTGCTGGCTTTCAGGTGTTGAGCTCTTGCTCTCCTTGCAATTTGGTGCAGAGGTGGTGGTTGTGTGTGGCTCCGAGGGTGGTGTGGCAGCTGCCCTTGTCTGGCTGGAATCCTTGCAGATGGTCCCATCTAAGGGGAGGAGGTGCCAGTGTGGCCTGAGACTTGTGGAGATTCCCTTTGAACTTGTTTCTCTGTGCTGATACCCTGCTGCTTTCCATCCTTCTTGCTCTTCCAGAGATTTTTCTGGCTGCAGGGGGTTAGGATTTGCAGCACCCAGAGTTTATTTGCTAGCTGGAATTCCCTGTGTGGCTTCCTCCTGTGTCACCAGAAGCGCCAGGTCCCCATGCCTGGGGGAGACAATGCCGTGCTCCTGAAGCGGCAGCAGTGCAGGTTTGGCCTTTATGGGCTTGGTGAGTGGGAGCAGGATCTGCTCCGTCAACGGGATCCAACACTGTCCCACCACATTTGAAAAGAAATGCATTTGCGGCGCTCATGGCTGTGGCCTGTCTGTATCAAATAAGCTCCTACCTCTCAAATCGAGACGTGTTCCTGAAGTTGGCTGTTGCTCATCCTGCGCCTTTCCCTGCTCCCAGTCATCCTTTTTCTATCAGTGTCTTTGCTGCTTGTCCGAAGCCAATGGTACGCAGAGTGTGGGGGGATGACCAGCAGCAGCCTTCAGCATGGAAATCTTCGGGGGGAAAACGTCTCTTGTGGAGCAGAGTTGGATCCTGCTGCTCTGAGTTCCCTAATAACTTCTGGTGCTGCTTCTGCCGCCTCGCTGGTGCTCAGCCACTGCAGCCCTGTCGGTGGCAGGGAGGGAGAGCGCCAGCTGGGTTCTGGAGAAAACAATCCCTGGGGATTTTACTGTGGAGCTTCCAAGGAGCAAGGGAGATGGGGCAGAGCCTTCGAGCTTTGCCTGCATTGTGGATGGCCAAGTGAGTTTGGCCTTATCTTGCAAGGCTGCTGCTGCATACTGCTTGCTGTGACTCTGGCACCTGCCCCAGTTTTTGGGGGTGTTTGTGGCCCCGTGGTGGAATGTGCCCTGGGACTGGGTCATGACTTGGCTCCTGCTGGGAACACAAAAGCCACTTTGCTCATGCTCTGCAACCCAGCCCCGTGTCCTCCCTCCTCTCCTCCACTGTTCTGCTTTGCACTTGTAGAGGGAAGATGATCTTCTGCCTTAAACATTTTGGGTTTTTTTTTCAGTTTACAATTTTATTCCAGAAGGCGATCAGATTGTTGTCTTCTTGGAAAAGAGGAGTTGGGGCTCCTGAGGGAAGAGTAGAAAATCCCTACAGTAACTCTGCAGCAGTCATGGTTGGGCTCAGTGGATGTCACCTCATCAAATCTTGCCTCCTTTACATGATGCCATCCCAAATACCACACCTTGGGATGAGCTGTCAACCCACCACCACCGCTGGGTTAAACTGGTGTTACCAGCACCCCTCAGGCACTTCAGTCCCTGTGGCAGCATCCTGGCTGCAAGAGAAATGCAGGTTTTGCAGGGAAAGGAGAGAAAAGGGATAGTAATCCTGGGTATACCCAGATGCTGATGCCCCAGCCCTGTTCCCAGTGGGAGTCGGAGGCTGCTCTGGCCCCAGCGCAGCCATGCCACGGTGGGCAAGAGGCGCCGGCCCTACCTGGGAATATACCCCATGGCCTGACAGTCCCTCAAGGTCTTAGAAACCAAATTGCAAACTCTTTGCTCCAGAGGAGAAATTGGGCAGCCTGGTAGAACTTGTAATGACCTTTCCATCCCGTAGTACTCCTGGCGAAGGATTGGCATTTGGAAGGGGCCCGGGGTGGAAATGCCAATGTTCCCCCCCCCCC